TTCTCTTTAGACTTGAGTTTCTGGTTCTTCAAGTAAGATTCTCATAATCTTTCTTGACATTTTCAGTCCAATACCATTCTTTAAGTTCATCTATGATCACGTCCTTGCTGATCAAAATAAGTTTGTTCACTGAATCGAACAACTTGTAACCTCCTATCGAATGATATCCTACTAGAATCATTTTACTCTACTTGTCATCAAATTTTCTTCTCAACTGATCTGACACATGTCTATATGCAATAGACCTAAATACCTTCAGATGACCCGAGATAGGCTTCGTACTAGACCAACATTTTTCTGGCGTAATTCCTTCTAGCTTCTTCGTCGGACATCTGTTCAAAATGTATGTTGCATTCGACACAGCTTCACCCAAAAACTCTTTAGGTAAATACTTTCCTTTGAACATACTTCTCACTATATTCATGATGGTTCGATTCTTCTTTTATGTGATTCCATTGAGCTGTACAGTATAGGGTGGAACCACCTCATGCACAATCCTTTCTTTTTCACATAATTTGTCAAAGTCTTTCGACACATACTCTCCACCACCATCAGTTTTCAACACTTTGAGTTTTCGACCACTTTTCCTTTCACCATAGATTAAAATTTGGTAAATACATCAATCACTTCACTTTTCTTCTTGATCAGGTAAGTCCATAATTTTCGAATGAAATCATCTATAAATATGACAAAGTATTCGTTACCTCCATTCGAATCCACCTGGATTGGTCCACATACATCAGAGTATATGACTTCAAGAATAGCCTTCGATCTGCTTCCTGCATCCTTGCTGAAACTATTATTGTGTTGCTTCGCCTGCACACGTTCCTCACACACCTCGTTTGAAATTTCAATTTCTAGCAATCTAGAAACCATATTTCTTCTTTTCAAATCTATGATATCTCTGAAGTTGAGATGGCCTAGCCGATAGTGCCATATTCATTCATCTCTGCTAGCTGCAATCGAAAGACACTTGTGCTCCATCATATTAAGTTCAATCTTGAATGTTCTATTTTGAGATATTGGGGCTTTCAAGATTAACCTTACATTTGCGTCGACGACTCTCATCATCTTGTCATCGATCGACACTTTATAATTCTTTTCGACTAACTGCCCTATGTTGAGAAAATTGCTCTTCATGTCTGGTATGTACAACACATTGGAAATTACTGACCTCTTGTCATCTTTCCTCATAATCATAACATCACCAATACCTTCAGTTGCTAGGGTATTGTCATTCGCAAATTTCACCATGTTCTTCATTGAGGGCTTTATGTTGACAAACCAATCTTTCTTTCCAGACATGTGTGATGAGCATCCTGAATCCAAATACCATTAGTCCTTGAATCTATCTTCATATTTTTTTGTGACCATCAACATCATCTCTTCTTCTTCATACTTTGCGAACTTTGCATCACTTTCTTGATTCTTTTGTTTTTCTGGACAATCACTAGAATAATGACCATACTTATGACAATTTTAACACTAAATATGATTCATGTCAAGTTTTTGAACACCACCTCTTTCTCTATTTGTAACACCATCTCTTTGATTACCTTGGTATGGTTTTCTCTGATTTGACATATTTTCTTCGTGCTAGTTTCCTCTACTAGTCGAATTGTTGTAGCCACCTCTACCTTTATTGTCCAACCACTTTACTTTTCCTTTCTTATCTTTTTCTGATTGAGCCTCTAGAGCCACAACACTCTTAGATTTTCCTGCCGCTCTTTCAGTCATTCTTTGTTCATGAGATTCAAGCATCCCTTGAAGCTCTTCCTTCAACAAAGATGACATTCCCTTCGACTCTTCTATGGAAACTACCACGTGATCGAACTTCGGAGCCAAAGATCTCAAGATCTTCGAAACAACTACTCTTGTTGTTAACGTCTCTCCACAAGTCTTGATTTGATTCACTAGTTTCGTAACCTTAGTGAAGAAATCAGATATACTTTCGCTATCTTCCATCTGAAGCAATTCATACGTTCTTTTGTGAGTTTGTAACCTCGCCTCTTTCACCTTCTCAGCGCCTCCAAACGATTTCTTTAGAATTTCCCAAGCTTCTTTTGCAAATTCTACATTACTAACCTTTTCAAAATTGTTTGGACTAACACATTGGTGAATTATAAAGAGAGCTTTATAATTCTTCTTCTTCGATTCTCTGTATATTGTTTCTTCTTCTTCTGAAGCGTCTTCATCAAGCGGTTCTAATCCATATTTCACAAGATCCCAAAGACCTTGAAAACAGAATATAACCTTCACTTGTTTGCACCAATTCTCATAGTTATTACTTTTAAGAATTGGGAGACTTGCTGGAAAATTCCCGTAAGCGTAATTCATCGTCATCGTGATCTTCTTCTTCTTCCTCGATCGTTCTTGATCGTTCTTCCCGTGAATCACTCAACCGGGACTCTTGATACCAGATGTTGGAAATCCACCAAAACCTATGATAAATTTCTATCAATCTTGATGAACAAGATTGTTATCACCACACAATAGCAATGAAAATATATGAAGGAATAAAAGAAAGAGAAGATAATGATTTTCTGCAGAGTTTCTCTCTGCCCATAAACTGTGCAAAACTTCTTATTCACTTGCAACTGCAAATTATGTGAATACAACTTGATTGATTATAAAAAATAGGGGTTACTCCCTCTATATATAGATTTATGTTAGCTTACTCTCTAAGGCAAAGTCCAAAATTATAAAAGCCCAAAATATATATTTTAGAACTAAATCAAATCTATCTATTTTAGACATAAATCAAATATTATTTATTCTAGATCTAAAACATTTATGTGTGTAACAAATTGTTTCTACACTTCTAAATTAAATCAAATCTTTTCGACACTTTCTTATCTCTGTCCAGCAAACTGCTTAGACACAAGAAATTAATTTCAACAATTTAAAAGATTTTGATGTATCAACGTGTATTTTAGGATATTATTGTAATAAGTATGTTGAACTTTTCCCTTCTATTTTAATACCACAAATGAATATTACATGAAAATATTAACAAAACTACACTTTCAATTCATCAACTATAGTTAGTGGCACCTAAAACATTGAAACATGACTTCAATTTTTTAATGGTCAAATTTATAGTGACTTTCAAAATATTATTACTATATTTTATTCTTTAAAATGAATATTTTTTTTAGATATTTAGAGACTTTACTTTATAGTAACTTTCAAAATATAATTACTATATTTTATTCTTTAATTTAACAAGTGCTATAAGAATATTTGTTAATATTTTTGATTTTATAATTTTTTTCTACATTGAAAATATAAACATTTAAAATTATTGTGTGATGAGAAAATACCTGAATTCAATAATATCATTTAATTTAAGGAATACGTTATTATTTTGCAAATTTGAATGATGAAGCTGATTAACATGTACAATTATAGATATTAAACTTATTTTTATTGAGAAGATTTTAAGTTTTATATTAATTAAAAATAAAAGAATTTATATAAAATGATATTCTATATAATTTTATAAGACTCGAACGATTAATCTCTACAATTATGCGCGGATGATATTTCTAATTAATTTATCCAAAAAATCGATTTTGTAAAAGATAAATAGATTGATTTTTAATTATTCTTAATTAACGCATAAAACTTTTATAGCTTTTGTAGTAATGTTGAAGTTCTACAATGTCACTTATTGATTAATAATATAAAAATATCTTATACTGTTAATATATATTTATTTTTTTCTTTGCAAATATTTATATTTATTAAATTTGTTTTAAATAATATATTTATGCAAAAAAAAATATATTTATTTTAGTAAGTATGTTGAATTTTTCCCTTCTATTTTAATGCCACAAATGAGTATTGCATAAAAAATATTAACAAAACTACACTTTCAATTCATCAACTATAGTTAGTGGCACATAAAACATTGAAATATGACTTTAATTTTTTAATGGCCAAATTTACTTGACTTTAATTCTTCCTTGCGCACTCGCAGACTCTAATAAATACTTCTTATGTTTTAAAATAATTATTATTTTAATAAATAAATTTTATTTTAAAATAATTGTCATTCTTTTTTTTTAATGTAGAAATCATTGTTATTTTTTCAATTGTGTTATTTAGTTTTTATTTTTTACACTTTTTCCAACACACTAATACAGTTTGTTTGATAAAAGTGAAATATTTTATGACAATACCATTGCATTCTTTAATCAGTGTGTAAAAATCTTAAACGACATTCATTTTGAAACAGAGACAGTATTAAAAAAATTTGAATCTACCTTATTCATTTGTAGTCTAACCAAGCTTTGGGTGGCAAACCTTTGATTGACTCCAAAGTAGATTGTCGACTTGTTTCAATTAACACATTGAGAATTGCTTTAATGAGAACTTATTGCTATCATCACTAAGGAAACGTGCAAATGGAAACTTTCTTTCTCTTGAGATCATTACTACATGAGAAATAATGCACATTGTTTCGATTTTAATTCATTTTAAAAACTTCCTTGCTTTCTCACACATGAAGAACGATGGCTCTCTCGTTTGCTCTCAAATTGTTCACATCTCTCTCTCTCTCTCTCTCTCTCTCTCTCTCTCTCTCTCTCTCTCTCTATATATATATATATATATATATATATATATATATATATATATATATATATATATATATATATATATATATATATATATATATATATATATATATATATATCGGAGCAATCAAATGATTCAAAAATATGATATTGCTACACATCTGATCTCAAACGTGTCACCAATGCCCATAGAGTCAAGATGTTAGGAGTCAAAATAGGAGAAAAGACACTTTAAATAAAGCTAGGATTTCTGAATCAAGCAACTCTGATAAACTATATGTTGTACATGATGTTGTACTTGATGTTGTACCATTGCATATGATTGTTCCCGTGGATATCCCAAAGAAGAGAGCCAAATGTTTAGGTATCAAAATGAGTGGTAAAAATAAAAAGGTGAGTCTTATTGTTCAAGAAACCTTTATGCATGCTTTTGGCAATGAACTTGTTGATTCAATAAATAAAGATAAAGGAATTAATGATGATGACACCTCTTTTAATAATGTTGATCTTGTTGAAACCAACATTGATCTTAATATGGAACCATATGTCAAACCAACTGGTATGAAATTTGGTGAATCTTTTGTTGAACCTCGTGTTAACCCCGCTACTGAAAACCCTAAAGTGGATATACTTATTTTTAATCCTTACGTGAATGAGATATTGGATGAAAGTCATGATTCTTCTAAATATTTGTGAAATAAAAATCCTCAAAATGAAGAGGTTGACATTCAAAGTAAAAGGAATGAAGAAGACGGTGAGGGTGATGACATTCACATTTCCGAAACCTTGAAAAGGATTATTGAAGAGAAGATTGCTCATGTGACAAATAAAGAAGTGATTGAGATTGATGACGAAGCAATTGTGACAATTTTGAAAATCTTAGTTAGTTATGTAGATGATAAAGCTAAAGATAAAAAGCACAAAATAGATAATCCAAGTGCTGCTACAAAGAATATTGAGAATGTGAAGTAGAAAACTCCTATATCAAGTCATGTGAAAAAGAAGAAGAGAGTAAAAGAAAAGACTATTGAGAAAAACTCTCTTAAGAGGAAACTTGTCCTATCAAGTGTGTTGTACCCTAAAATTTTCCCTCCCTTTTATTCAAGACATTCTCCTAGGATTCTCAAATGCTCAAGGTTGCTCAAGAATTGATCAGACAAATTCTCCTCCTAAGCAATGGGTCCACAATTAGGGTTTTGTATTTATCAAGGAAGATTGAGTTTCCAAGGTCTCAATTGGTTTTCATGGTTCTTCATATGTCCCTAAGAATGCTCATTTCAAATTTCAAGTCTTGCATGAAAAGTCTGCTCAATAATGACTCAGATGACTGAAAATCAATTATATTGGGTAAAAAGTCAATTATGGTCAACATACAGTCAAACTTCAATATTTTTGGTCAACATCAATATTTTTAAGTCATATTCATCATTTTATCAAGGGTTGGTCATGATTCCTCAAGAAAATCCCTCAAATCATCAAATCATCAAGAGTCAAAAGTTGCTAAATTAGGGTTTATGTGGGAGAAGTCAATTGAACTTTGACCAAGCATAACTTTCACATGCTTCATCAAATTTTCCCCAACCAAATCTCATTTTGAAGGAAATTCAATTATCTACAACTTTCTATCTCTAAGCTCAAGTCTAAAAAATGCTTCATTTGAGAGATATGAGTCAATAAATTATAGGCCATTTCAAAAGTCAACAAAAAGACACTTTTTATCAAGACAACTTACATCAGGATAAAGTCTCCAAATGCAAATATGATCAAAAGAGGGATTGTAGAGTACATCTTGATATTTCCAAAAAGTCATAGATAACCTTCAAAGGATGAAAATTGATCGAGTTATGGCCATTTCAATTTGGGAAATTTTGAGCAAATGCATAAAATTCAAATTGAGCAAACTTGATATTTTGGGCCATTGGGATATTATTTTAGAGTCCAAGTGTGTTATATATCTCATATGCACCTCAAGACTTATTTATAGAGCTCCCTTTGATTTACTTTGTTTATTTTTTATTTTTTATTCATTTAAAAGTCAAAATTAAATGAAATAAGACAAGGCCTTCTTACACAAAGACCAAGCCCATAGCTTTGACCTAATTTCAACCATTATATTATATCATTAAATCTCATACAAGAGGACACGAAACCCTTGCCTCAAAAGTTATCAAAAAATATCAAAATTTCAAGAACCCTAAAATCTTCAAATCCTTATTCTAAGCCCTTTCACCATAAAACTTGCCACACCAATCAACTCCATTTACTCCCCGGGTAAGATTGGATTGTTTTCAACGATCCAAATGGCCAGAAAACACTTTTGCATGCATCACGATTTCATCTTTGTTTGAATTTCGTATCTTTCGTTTAACTGCATTTTAATGCTTATTAATGCTTATTATGTGTTCATGAGACTCAACTATGCAGGAATGACCTATCATGGAGGTCACGTGCATGCTAAATCATAGAACACCATATTTTCTCCGATTTATGCCGTTTGTGCCATAACTCAAAAACCATGGATTTTTAGACCAAAATAATCCTTCCATTGGATTGGCAGCCCTCGATTTAGGGGGGGGGGGGGTTAGGATGTTTTTAATTACTAATCTTGATTATTTTGCAGGTTAAACAAAATATGGTCACCGGAGAAGACGATCAGAGCTAGGGCTCTGGCGCCTCTTCGATCAAGACATTATTATTTATAATATCTATTTATTGGTTGATTTATATAAACGGATGTACAACTACCCCAGCGGTAGTAGCGCACGTGATAAGGCCTTAGTGTACTAGGGCATGAGTTCGATCTCTGCCTCTGGTATTTTGTGTTTTCACATTTTTATGTTTTTGCATATCACATGCGAGCCAGCATAACGCGTCAATCATTCGCCTTCCATTCCCAGCCACTAGATCTCGTCATCATCCAATCCAACGCTTCTGATGGTCTCCACATGGTGAACCTCCTAGAACCATCCCCACTGGATCTCAGGCAGGCATAATGGGCTTGCTGTGTTGGGCCTAGCGAATTGCTTTTCTCACACCCCCGGTTTGCTTCCATAACAGGCCCAAATCTCATTTTTTTAACCGTTTCTTTTTTACATAATTAGTTTAACCTTTTTTTAATTAAAATTAATTTAGACCTTAGGTTTTTTAACTTAACTAATATTTTTTTAATTAAATTAATTTAACTTTTTTTCATTTAATTAATTAACTTAGGGTTTTTAGGTTTTTCACTAAACTTTCTTTTATTCAAAATTAATTTAGGTTTGCTTAATTAATCAATTTTTTTCTTAATTAATTAAAATTAACTAGGTCTTAGGTTAATCATCAAATCATTTTTTTATCAAAATCATAAAACACATTTTTCCCCTTTATTTTACAATCTTCGCATGCTTTATTATTTTCGCGTTATTTTTCCGATTATGCAACTGCTACAGTTTGTAATAGTTTAAATTAGGGTTTTACTTTCTATTTCTCCCATTTTTACTATTTTGTACTCCCACTCCCGAAGCTTTGTAATAGCGTAGAACCCTTTAATTTCTGCCTTTACTTTCTGGATTTACCGCTTTCCTTATAAATGTTTAGCTTAGTAGGTTTGTATGGTAAGATCTAAAAGCAATCATAGAAAACCCTAATCAAAGACTAACATAACTGAACCATGATACACTCTTCACACACGCACCTATAGGATAATCTCACTCGTTGCTTCAGAAAACAGTCATGTCCCTCGAACATGGGGACACTTTAGCGTTGTCCCTTGATTAAAAAGATCATAGTCCCTCGATGACCCTTCGATGCTGCCTTTGGTAAACAATCTAGTCCCTTATGATAAAACTACTAAAGCGCCCCTACGAGATGCCTTTATCACTGTACAATGACCCGCGTATGTCCCTTCACATCCAGCGATATGGCTTTCTACTAACTAATGATAGGATATCACTATCTAAAGGAGGAGGAAAATAACACGAAATACTTTTGAGTAGGTAGATCGCTCGTAATCGCTTGCTCACAAAAACAAAAAAAAAACATCATTTTCACAAACACTTTTTCATAAATAAACACTTTGTACGCATTCTTAACTAATACAAGAGTCATTACAAGGTTTTTGTACTTATGAATTTTTCAAAATATTTTCAAACATACACAACACAGAGCATTTTCAAAAAGTGAGCTAGCGATTAAGAGCTCGTAGATAACTATGGATGAAAAGGGTGATAACACATTCCCTTTTCATAACCTACCCCCCGAACTCAGAAAAATATCAAAGGCCTTTCCTGTTATTTTCACCTTTTCCTTATTGGATAAAAGAAAAGTTGGTGGAGACTCTTGCTATATGCAAAATTTGCGATAAAATACAAAATAAGTCAGTTCTACCACCGTATTACAAAGTGAATCATAGACAAATGTTAAAGCATATGTCCTAGACATCGTGCCCTCTTCCAGGAGAAATATTGGAGGAAAAAGAGCTCCAGTCAATATTCCAACTGCCCCCTTAGACAATGTGTTATTCCACTCAGAAGAAAGTGAGAATAAGTGTAAGTATGTGTTCCAGAGAAGATTTTCCATAAAAAATATTAAGAAAATATGCTTTTGAGTGTAATGAAACCATGGATCTGCTAAAGGATGTTCGATTAATGAAGAATGTTTCGTTGGACCCTGCTATAAGAAACTAGTCAAGGTGTTCATTATTAACATGTCCAATGAATACAATATTGAGGGTAGCAAATAATCCAGGAAGGTGTATGTGAGAAGTTGTTGTGTGAATTTTTCTCTTAAGAGAATAAATGCGTATTTTGGCCCAATGATTAATTGTGTGACGGGCTGTGTGACTAGTGACTACTACTAACTTTGTGTGTATATGCATGATTAATTGTGTGACTGACTGTATGGAAGAATTATGATTTGTTTGGAGTGTATAGAAACCACATGATTTCTGATTTTATGTTACTTCTGTTGCTTTTGCTGTTTGCTTTGTGTATTTTTTTGTGGTATGCTTATGATGCTCAAGTTGTGGTATTGTTAAAGATTTATCCTTTGCACATCTTGTAAGTTTTGAAAGAGTTATTTTGCCAAAATTTTCCAAAGGGGGATATTGTTTTTCCTTTTGGATTGAATGCATTATGAAAAACAACATAGAGTGTACAATATATTTTGATGAAGAAAGGAAACATGTGGGAACAAACGTTCCAGCTTGTGAGCAACATCTGACCCTTGTCAGTAGGCCATGATGGATGGTATTCTGAGTGTATTTTCTGATTTTTATTCAATTAGGTTTATTTCTGTCTTTTAGCAATCTGATTAGTTAGATATGTTTGATAATTTAATAACCTCAAATTTAAATTATGGAGATTTAAATTTAAATTCAATCAAATCAAATCTTGTAGTGGAGTTGTTTTGGAAAAACAAGTCTTAACCAAATATCCATGATATCTGGTGATTACAATTCAAATTCCCATTAGAGAAATGCCTAGCTATGGATTTCTATTTAAAGAGACTCATTCTAACTTTGAAGAACACAAGCTTAGTTGAAGATCTTTGTGTTAGGGTTTATTTGAGTCCTTTGTTTGTGTTGTTACATGTTCACCATGCTAGCGCGTACATTCATATCATAAGGCATAGTTATTGATTTGTTTAGTTGAGTTGTAATTCATCATTCATTACTTTGATTATTGATGTTGATCACTAGGTTAGTGATTGATACAAAGTGATATGGGTTCTCATATTTAGGGAGAGTCCTAAATAGAAAGACATTAGGGTAGAATTAATAAGAGTAATATCGAATAAGGGATTTGTTCATCTAAGATACTTTGTACTAATTCTATTGAAGAATGGATTTACTTTCTTGGGTTAAAAGCCCTTCATCCGCAGGTGTGGTTACACTTAACTGGGTTACCAATTTTCTTGTGTTCTTTATTGCTTTTACTTTTAATTATTATTGCTACCATATTATATTAAAATTGGTTTAACAAGTTGGACAA